ACATAAAGTATCACATCCGCTCTGTCAATAACTTCCTTGAAGGCTTTATCGAATGCTCGACGTGAGCTTTCTTTTGTCGTGGGTATCACCGTGTCTTCAAACGTCACCCCACCGTCTTCCTCGTCATCCACCATGTCCTCGTCTCCGTGCTGATCCTCATACTCGGCTGCGCGAGCCTTTGCAGAGGCTAAAAGTGCAGCCATAGGGTTGGACTCCTCTCCTTCAACCTCCATATCATCGTCGTCACTCTCTATCAGTTCGTCGTCCTCATCGTCGATAAGATCGGCATTTTCCGTTATATCAACATCTCCAGCTTCCTCTGCGTTTTGTGCCTGGCGTCGTAGCTTCGCCTCCTCGCGCAGTTTCTGTGCTTCTTCAGCCTTTAACCTCCTCTTCTCTTCGATCTCCTGTAGGAGTCTATCTTTATATGGGAATAAATTTGGAATGCCAGGATCCTTCTTGAGTTTTGAGCGCCATTGAGGATTCTGATTGACATCCACCAAGTTAGCATCATATTCTCAAAGCTCGGCCGTAATGACCAAAGACTTATTCAATGAGAATCGCAAACCTTTTTGGCGAGTTTTCGGTCTTTTCTCTGCTTTGCGGCACTGGCTTTTTCAATCTTATGCCGTAGCCGAACGGGCGTCCGCTTCGATGACTTCCCTAAACGCACAATGAGAAATCGGAGCGCAAAATACAGCCATCACAAGGGTGTGTACTCACCTAGCTTTACCATATTGTCTATATCTCCCTACAGGACTTGCTCGAATTCTTCTCCTTCTTCTCCTCCTCTTTTTTTCACCGCAGGAAAAAAGATAAAAAATAAAAAAAAATATTTTAATGTGGGTCAAAGCTTAGCCAAGATTTTGCTGATTAGAAAGTCTTGGCGACGTCGATAAGATAAGAACATGACTAAGCAGCTGTTATCTCGATGAGTCATCACATTGACCAATCAGAGGAAAGAGTCATGCAGGGTAGGATTTTTACTTATATAAAAGTCTTCCCCGATGGCGGGGAGAAAGAGACAAACTGGCAAAGTCGAAACAGAAGAGATTGAGGATTGCATGAAAAATATCCAGGCTCATCTTGTTTAAACTGCAATTGCGTTATATTTACCGTTTTGAGAAAGCTTACTCCAATTTTCGGAGAGTCGGGATGGGCTCAACGGGGTCGTTCAGCGGACCTCGCATGTCACTTACCTTCGATGGATTGCTCTTCGACTTCGATGGAACAATTGTCGATTCTACTGCCGGTGAGCCGCCTTTGCATCATGCAGTCCTTCCCCTCACGTCAAATGTGCATTTCCCCCCCAAGCTAATCATGCGTTTCTAGCGGTTGTGAAACATTGGCATATGTGAGTCTAGCGCTGCCACATCCCGCACTTCATGAGGGATAAACGCACGCCTTACCCCAACATGCATAGTCATTGTTGTTCTATTTGATCGTTCCCTTATCTAAGACTATGGTCTGGAAGAATAGGAAAAGAGATCGGAGTTGACCCGAAAGTGATCTTGCAAACCTCCCACGGCAGGAGAAGCATTGACATGCTTAAGATTCTTGCGCCTGAGAAGGCTACTTGGGAATGTGAGTCTTTTCGCACCAGCACTTAACCGCAGTCTTCCCCCCCCCCATTTGATATACCCGTAGGGGAGCGGAAAAGAGGAGGGGGGGAAAGAGAAGAAGAAAGTCGGTAGAACACGGAAAGTCAGTGTCTGACTATGGCGTAATCCACAGACGTTAGCATGATCGAAGGACGAATCCCAAAAGACCTTGGTAACGATGCCACTGAGATACCCGGCGCTCGACAGATCCTCACATCGTTAGAAGAGGCCGGAGCGCCGTGGGCGGTCGTGACGTCTGGCAGCAATGCGTTGATTACCGGCTGGCTCGGCGTCCTGCAGCTAGCACACCCAAAGTACCTCGTTGTTGCAGAGGATGTGCATGTTGGCAAACCAGATCCTTCCTGTTACCTGCTAGGTCGTTCTCGGCTTGGCTTGGAACATAGTGATTCGATGCTCGTGATTGAAGATGCTCCATCCGGTGTCCGCGCTGGAAAGGCCGCTGGGTTTAAGGTTCTCGCGCTCGCCACAACACATGTGGTCGAAGAGCTGAAGGAGGCTGGGGCGGATTGGATCATCAAAGATCTTGACAGTGCCTCACTCAAGAAGTTCGCCGATGGCAAGGTTGAGATAGAAGTTTGGGATACACTTCAATAGCGCTTAGCCGCTTCGACAGGGGTCCTGGAGATAGGGTTAGACCAGGTACCGACGACTGACATAATTCCCTTCACACCCTCTAGCTTGGCTGACATGAACATCTGCCTTGCGTTGGCTCTCTCAGTGTTTGTTGCTTGTTAGTGAGATCAACACTTTGTTTTATATCCACGCCGTTTTGATAGACTAGTTTGCTTGCACTAAGGCTATGCGGTTCTTGGGAAAGGTGTCATGCACGGCCGAATTTAAACCAAGAGACTAGGATAGAATAGAGTGCCTGAATCCTGTAGCCCAGTATACAAGCCCATACCGGATACGTCACGCCTTGAGGTCTCGACCTCATCTTCCCCTACTGCTCTGTACCTGCACAAATTTCACCTTTTTAAGGGCTTGGGGTAAGTCGCCTGTGATGCGGAGCCAGTCTGTATCGTGCTAGAAACAAAAAAGCAAAAGACCAGTTGAGCGTCGTGCTAGCTAGCGTACATTCCCTCGTCACGCAAAACCGATGTGATGGAATTCCGCGTACGCCTTAATTGCTGTGGCAAGGGTACAACAGAACTGAGACGCCCGACCTTTTGCCCTGTGTCTCATATATCTGCAGGTCATCTATATTGCACCCACGTACATATATATATATATATATATATATATACGTACATACGTATGGAGTACTCTCTGTATGATAGACAAGGAGTGAGCAGGGGGAGAGAGAGGGAAAGGTAGCCCCATCAATCCTGCATCTGCATTACAGACACATCGTCGTGTGACTCTAAAGCCAGCCACCACTTTTCTCGCATGCATACTGATGGAAAATGTGTGCTATGATCCCTTCTTCGTCTCTTCATCTCTTCGACTGCGGAAATGCTCCACACACACATAAGTTGTTAGTGCTCTGTACGGAGTATACGGGGGAGTTATACACATCTCCAGTATAGATGGCAAAAAGAAGAGATCGACAGCCACAGGACCGACAAAGTGACACCTGCATGAGACTTCCCAAGGGGCAGGAACTGGCGAAGTCCATTTCGTCACATCCCATTGATGTGGTTTTCTAGTGTCTTCCCGATCTATTCCCCCGGCGGAGCATAAATGAATAGTATGCAAACTAGGTTTTGTGCCGTGAAGCTGATCACTCACATGGCTTGGCGTATAAAAGTGTGGGAGTGTGGGAGTGGGAGGCAGTTTGGTTCTGGTGTGTTGATCGGATCATCACCGGAGAATTTCAAGTTGCTAAAGAAGGTCTAGTTGCAGTTGCTGTGTGCATTCTGTGTCGTCCATCCAGAGAAAGAGAGTCATCCATAGCTCTTGACGTTCCCAAGATTCACATATGGCGGTACCTGCCATGATATAATATCATGATATACCCTGGTTTGGCGATCTAGCACGCCTCGATAGCTCTTCAGTTGCGAAAGAGGCTTGAAGAAAAGCCCCCCATTCGCTACCTTCGGCTTTCTCTCGCCTTCTCTGATCATCGTCCTGCGCTGAATATCATCCATCAAGGTGCATGGCAAGAGACAGATGGTATGTATATACACTATACGGATGCGTGGTATCTTTTTTGTATGTAGGTGCAAGCTCTTCTTCTGCAGACATGGAGATCGACAGCTTGCGCATATTCTCCTCCATGTTTTCCGCTCCCATGGAGAGAAAAAGAGAGTGATGCGTAAGAAAAGAGAACAAGCCCCTGAGCGTCGCTCTCTGGTTACAGGACCTTAAAGAAGGTATCATTTCTTTTTTTTTCTCCCTCATCCCTATCAGTTTCTTTTTTATGTAGTCTGCATATGCCGGGAGATAGGCTGCTGTTGAGTTCGCCATTGTGTCGTTCCGCAGAGTGTAACTTTGGGGCAAAAGTCGGGACACCCACTCGAGAGACACGAAATCAGGACATTCTCTCACCTAGGATGCAGCTCCCGCCATCAGCGAGTCCTCTTCTCTCGCGTTGCTGGGTGCGCAAAATGCGAGATATCATCTTCCGCTGCAGTCTGAGAATCCCGAAGTCCGAAATAACTTCTGATCTGTCCCAAAGGGACGAAATAGAATTAGGTATTACCCGGTAAAAAGAGTTTGGTATTTGAGTATAAAATACGAGGCATGTACCTAATATTTCAATACGGCTTATGTAATTAATTAGTCAATAATCACATGATGTACCCTTTTGGGAAAAGCAAAAACATCGACGAAAGAAGCAAAAATGACGACGAGGAAACAAAAACACCAGCAGCAGCAGACATCACCAGCAAGATGCGCAGGACGAATAAGCAAAAGATGGCCAGGACGGGTGCACCACCACTCGCCCGATATCCAACCTGCAGCGGGTACATAGCGTACACGGCACAGTGCCCAGCACAACAGGCAACAAGACTTTTGAAATCCCAAGTTCATGGGTACCAACCCTGCCAACGATCGTCCCACAAGCGCAAATCTCCCTGTCCAATAACACACGGAGTAATCCGCCCCTGGCTTGAAGATGGAGTCTACGGGTCAAAAGGGGCCTCCCGTAGCCCAATTGGCAGGGAACTGGCCCATCAAGGATTGCTTGCCCCAGACAAGAAGAGACAGCTCAAAAGCGAGGGAGCTGCACCAAATAAAATAGCACTCGATGGCGACCGAGGAGAAAAAAAGAAGAAGATGATGATGATGAGAGACCGCGAAACAGAGAATAACAGAGAGAGTGGCCAGGCCTCCAGACCTGTTCCAAGCGTCCCCTCCCTCAAGGCAGGCGAGTGGGTTTAGATCAGTCACCTTTTTTCTTCTTCTCTCTTCGTCTTTAGTTTTTGCGGAGTCAGCAGGGCAGAGAACGAGAGTGGGAGAGCAAAGGTCAACTGGACCCGTTGTGAGACTCTGTAAAGAGAACAGCCGGCTAGATCCAGGTTCAGGGAGGTTACGAAGCACTGGTATACGCAGACAGGAGACGCTCCCAGGTGGATGGCGTACGAGCTTACTTTGAATGCAGGAACAGCCCGGAATTCGAAGTGTGACCGAGCCTGCAGCTTGGTGTGCTTTTTGAAATGCCCTGCACACTTTCTGTGCCTCAATTCGAGAGAGTGACTCCGCCCCCCAAGACAAGCAGCGGAATCCTCCGTATCTCCTCTTTTGTATATGCACAATACAATGCACGATGCTATCTCGATCACTTTTGTCTTGGTGGGAAATCTGCGCTCTGGCATCGCCCTTTCAACTGGGTTCCAACTTTGTTTTTTTCTTTTTCCTTCCCTTTTTCATTTTCTCTTTCTCTTTTCTTTCCTTTTTCCCTCCCTCCCTCTCTCTCTTTTTGTTCCTTTTTCTTCTGCTTCCTCCCTCTCAATCCCTTTTTTTTTCACCTCGCATTTCTCGTCACCCTTGGCGATCGGTTCCCCCCGATATTAGCGTGGAGAGATGAAGCAATCCATGACCTAAGAGGGCTGCGTATCACACGAAAGGGTTACTTGTTGCCTGTTGCCAAGTTAACACCTTACTCCGTACAGATACCTCGGCCATCGTTCCCGTCCCTTCTCACCCATGGCCAAAGGTATTTGTCACAGCTCCATAGCATACGAAGCACTACCGTCATCGCCAGCAGGGTTTGCTATGACTCTCTTTTTTAACGCTCAACACCGTTAGTCTGCATCTTTAGTCGCAAGAAAAAAGGGTAACCTAAAATATGGCCAACAGGGATATCTGCTTGCCACTTTAGGCTGGCTCGTTTACTTTTTCGCCTAAACATCTGTTGGAGCCTTTTACCTTGCTGTACCGACGGTATCAACGAAGTCCCTTAGACCTGCCCTTAGAGGTTTATCTGGGGTTGTGCCAACAGATCCCTGACCCTAAAGCTGCTTGGCACAGCAGGCTTGCTCTGATGCTGCAGAAGCCCCAGCGCAGAACTGTGATGAAGTGGATCTTCCCAGCGGGGTGCGGACTGGTGGATTGGTGGGCTCCCTGTGGTTGCTCAGCCATTCGGCGGAAAAAGGGGCACCATTCTTAGCCGTACCTGATGTTACACGTCCGCCCAGGCACCGTTATTACAATACACCAGACCTTGGTACGCGGCTTGTGTGATGGAGCCGCCCCTGCTGTCCGCTGAACGCCCCCTTGCGCCGACGGCGAGGTCTGGCTTACTTCTTCTCTCCTCGTCGCCCCATCTCTCGTCAACCTGTTGTTCTTCGACAGCCAGCCGTCTGCGTGGGAGCCCGTCGTTCATTATCCGACCTTTCTTTTAGTATTAAGATCACCATCAGTCCTTTTTTATTTTTCATTTTTGTTTTTATCTCCATCTCTGATTCTATCTCGTCGTTCCTTAAAAACTCCTTAATTACACCACCCACCACCAACAAACACCCTTGCAGGATCTAGCTACAGAACAGCTACCTATTACTCTCATTCAACAGCATCAACTCATCACGTCAACAGCACTCAACTTTTCAATCTCTTTCCCCTTCTCATATTTTTTTTTTTTTTTTTTTTTTTTTTTTTTTTTTTTTTTTTTTTTTTTTTTTTTTTTTGGGTATTATTGTCTTTTTGTTTTTCGTTTTAACTGGAGGGACGCTTGCCCTTCCAAAACAACGTTCTACTCCCTACCGACTACCGATCCTGGAACCGGCAACCATGAACTACCTCCAGACCCCGTTCCAATACGCGATGCCGATGGATCAGCCTATGGGTTATGGCATGCCCGTCTCACACCATCCCTATGACCAGCCAATGGATCAATGCTACATTCCTTACCACCAGAATGATATTCATGGCTTCTACACAACCGGTGCCATCGAGGAATATGAGGAATATGTGGAGAATCTGTCACGGCCCCGTTTGACGAAGGAACAGGTTGAGATTTTAGAGTCACAGTTCCAAGCTCATCCAAAGCCCAACAGCAATACGAAACGGCAATTGGCCCTACAGACAAGCTTAACCTTACCTAGAGTTGCGGTATGATAGAGTCTCATCCCATATATGAAAATGTACCATTCAAAGCTATGTACTAACTTGGGAATAGAACTGGTTCCAAAACCGAAGAGCAAAGGCCAAGCAGCAGAAACGACAAGAAGAATTCGAGAAGATGCAAGCCAAAGAGAAAGCCATTGCAGCCGAGGAAGCAGAGAGCAAACAATCCTCAGAGAGCTCTGATGAACAACAAAAGTTAGAGCAGGACCAAAAGAGCTCGATGTCCACGCCCACAGACACTCATGGAGCCTCTTCAAGTTGTAGTGAGCAAGAAGATCATGGGTTGCAAACTCCTGCGGATGAGAAACCAGAACCTAAGTTTGAGATTGTTGGACACCGTACAGAAGCGCAAGTGGAAATCCCAAGCTCAGAGCCAGCCAAAACGATCCCTAGCCCCCCTCTAAAGGACAACCAGGAGATGCCTGGGACTATGACTACTGTGCACAACAACACTGTTCAGCCCTCCTTTTCCCAGCCCGAAACCAACAGTCATTTCCAGCAGTGGGCTTCAACTGGCGTTCCTCAGATTGGAGTTAATGTTGGCTCTGCGGATGCACATACAGTTTCAACTGCAGCTCCCGTTATGGAGATCGACTCCAATGGTTACTGGTCCCCGGATTCTAGCGGCCTTGTCAGCCAGCCATATACTGAGCTCTTGTGTAACAACAGCTCGCCGGAAGATCTCTCTTGTCAAGTTCAGCCAACTACTACAGCATTCACACAATCTTTTATGCCATCAGAGTTACCACTATACTCTTCGCAGAGTATTGTCAACCAGCGACAGGTTTCCCTGTCGATGGAGCAGGGAGATATCTCTCCTAGCAGCGGCCCCAACTCGGACCCTGAATCAACCCATTCTGAAGGACGACAACTACCTCGACTTCACATCTCAACATCCGATAATGCAATTGGCCTTGCCGCGCGAAGAAAGCGCCCACGCCCTGCTGCCATTGGAACCTCAGGCTTCGGCCGTCCCGTCGGCGGTCCTGTCTCAGGATCACCAACCCGAAGGGTGTCCAGCGCTGCCTGGAGTGGAGTGCGAAAGTCGTCGCAGCTTGCCGAGCTGAGCCCTAGATTCGGTGGAATGAGAAAGATCTCTGGTTCCCCCAGGTCGCCTTTCCCCTACTCTTTGGAAGGGAAGGCACATGCTCTATCCAACACAGACTTGGCTGTGCCTCCATCAACCACCTCTTCTATACCCCCAGCCACTCCCATGACACCCGATGAGATGCAGTATCTCCTCCCACCAACACCAATTGACAACCATTACTGCCTCTCCCCACAGGAGGAGATGGGGTACTCCCATTCCTTCCCAACGTCCCAGTCAATGACCTTTGATGAAAGCCAGGAGTCAAAGAGACAACCACCGCCATTTGTAATGGTTGGAATGTCCCATCCTCAGTCATTCCAGCAATTCACAGAGCCTATGTCAGCGCCTCCCAACTTCACCACGTTCAACGAACTTATTCCGGGTTGTGGGCAACAGCAACAACAGCATCCACTAAGCTCATCTGAGGCTGAGGCATCTCTCAATGTTATTCATATGCCTCGACCAACACACATTTCCCCCATTGCATATGACGATCAGGTACAGAGTGAACACGTAGAGGAGCCCGCCCCCACTGAGGAATGGCAAGGTCGGGGTCAACAGTCATCTACACAATCCACAACTGGCCCAAACTCGCCTGTCTCAGAGTCTAGACAAGCTTATAACTCTGCTGGTAAGCCAAACACAGAGTTCTATATCCAAGAGTTTCCCCAACAAAACGAAGTCATGAAGGTGGCTGCACAGCAACTACCACCGCAACGAGCACGGACATACACCTTCACTAACCAAACCCCAAATGACTTTTACCGCACAGCCATTTTTCCACCTGTATAACATTGGTGCTTTATGTGTTCTCTTTTCTCTTGCTCAATGATACCATACACTGGAGATTTGGCTACCTGGTGAATTTCTCGCGGCCATCATCCTTCTTCCTTTTCTCTTTTCTCTTCGACTCGTCAATGATATATGTGGGCTAGGCAGGGATGGACTTTTGGATTTTGTTAAAAACGTTCGTACTACATATTTCCATCCAAGGCGCTCGACTGGGCTATTTTTATCAAGGCTCTCCTTTTGCTTCTTGCAGTTTTTGCTCTCTTTGGCTATTTTCTATTCCTTGCATTTCTCTCAATTTTCTTTACTTCCATTCCTTGGTACTCCAAGCACCGTGATACCTTTTCTATTATGATTATCGCATTCTGCATAATTTACCTATACTAACTTAATTTCTAATATTAATTAAAACCCCCATTCCCATGGCTTCCCCTATTTGGACAATTGTCGGCCTTTGGAAGTTGGCTGAATTTTCTCTTCACTTTCCACATACAGGTTATGGAGATATATTACATCATTTGGTTCTCTTCCCCTTGCAACCTTTCTCTCGCTTTTGTTTACCGAGATACCAAAGTTAACTGCGCTCGGATGGCCAGTTGGCTCCCTTTAGGAAAAGAAAGAAAAGAAAAAAAAAAGCAAAGGAAATAAATTGAAGTTATTCAGACCTTTTTACGTTGTTACTTTAACCTCGCCCTGGAGTTAATCGCCTGATCCTTCACTTGAGGATTTAGTATCAAAGCAGGCTGAGGGTTCAAGTTAATCGGTACGTGTTAGTCACCATATAATTCACCAGTTAATCTAGCTAGCTCTAGTTTTATAGGAGCCACAAAACTCTTAATTAGGAAATGGTGCAAGCTGGACCAGACAGCTGATGTAGGACGGGGGATCAAAAAGAGCTTTTGACTAGTTCTTTACATTCAAGGGCTTGTGCTCTCTGAAGCGAAGGCACCTAGGCTGCCTCATTAGGTGAAGACGTTCGGAGGTAGCTAATTAATTACCTGGGATCAATGCGTCTCAGGCTCCCGACAGAAAAAGGTATTGGGCTCGCCCGATTGTATTGGCTCTTTGGCCTTGCCGCCAGCCCCGGGGTTGAAACAGAGCAAACCCAAGAAGCCAGAACATCCATTGGAGGATCTAGCAACGAACATCACCTGTGACTTACTATCCCCCTGACCATGGCCCACCATAGCATAACCGCCCCCCATACCACAAGTTCATGCGTTTATACCAGCGGAGATACAAGTTCCCTGGCGGTTCCGGCTCCAATAGGCGTCTTGTCACCTGCATTGTTTGCCCGGACAGGAAACTGGCCTGAGACACCGGGAAGGCTGGGCAGAGCATGAAGCTAAGCGCCCAGCGTTGAATATCCGCTTATGTATATTTGTTCATGCAAACACAGGATTGATTGTATCAGCTTCCATCATACGCGCCCGCCCCCAACACCAGCATGGAGGGAGAAAAGGGTATATATATAGCTAAAGATGCTCTCACCATTCTCTGTTTCCTTGCACAGAACACAGTCAACTTCATCAAGACATCCAATTCTCCAAGAACTTCCACAATCAACATCAAGCTCAAGAGTTACCTCCAAGTCACCATGCCCAAAACCCTTACGTTGGTCTGCTACAAGCAGTCCCGCTTCTTCCCTGAGAATACTGCGCACTGGGGGCTGTAAGTTTGAACCTTACTACATACCTTAGCGACGGCACAGGCACACAAGTTCAATGGTTCTAACCTTAGTAGTCTTCTTCAGGAGCAGGGCGCGAAAAGCGGCCGGCTTTTCCATGTTACCAAGGAATCGTACAGAACCGGAATGACCGTGTGTACCCACTATTGCTCCTATCAATTGTTCCAGTTGTTTGTTTTTGAATGCCATCTTTTCTAATCAGATACCACGGTATTGTGAGCCTTAGGACTACCGCCAAGATATGAATATTGTACCGACTTTTTCTGCTTCCCTTCGAGCCTCGGTTGAGGTGGCCTCCGGCCTCGACCTTGATGTCGACACCCTCGACCGTCTATGCATTGAAGTCGCAAGAGGCCGCCGTTTCGATTTCGTCGTCAACAACTGCCAGAGGTTTTGCGCTCAAGTTCTACAGCGCCTTGTTCAAAATGGAACAATCACTCAGGCCCAATTTGATGCACTCGCCACGAAAGGATTTCGCCCCTTAGTCTAAAAACGGGTCGGAGTCAAGGGCATGGTTGGGAGGCTTTAGTTAACTAGTGGAGAAGACCAAGTAGTTACCAGAACACGTTAGAGTAACTGGCACAACGAAGTAACTATATGTACATTAGTTATACTGGAGACGCCCTTTGAAAATCCATTGCCCAAATGTCACCGTTCTCACCTGCGTATATTAGAGTACCACCGTATCCTCCTAGCTATGATACTACTCTGTTAACTTTCAAGTTAGCCCGAGGCTTAGTCGTGTCAAACCTCTCTCTTTTACTCTCCCTTCTTGCCATTTCTCACTTGTCTTCTGAAGACAGATAGATATAGAATAAGGGGGTAGCAAATTGAGTTTCAAGCACGGAGAAAGCCTTACTTGGCTAGAGATATATATACACAGAGCATGGTAGCGTTACTCCATACAGTTAGGAAGGTGGAATGGAAACAGTGGCATTTCGGCAAGTCGGCGTTTTCATAATGTGGCATCCGAGAAATTGGGCGGTCGACAAGTCTATCCAAGGCTGGTTGGCTCAAGGCTCACCACCTTCCCTGGCTTTGGGCGTGTGATGTAGATGAGATAGACTGAGTGAGTCTTCGTTTCCTTCGCAGCGACACCTCCTTCCTTCCGTTCTCGAATCACCTCGAGGGTAGCGGGTTTAAGAACTTCTTGAACCAACTGGGCCACTGACTCAACGCTTGAAGGGTTCGAAACCATGGAGTTATCCCATCGCTTGCGGATCTGTGCCGTAACGTCTTCAGGAAGCTGCCAGTA